AGGGACTGGCTGCTTATCAAAAGAGCTGGGCATTCGGGTTCTGGGCTGCCATGGCACAAGGAACCCACCCATCTTTTAAAATATGCTGTTTCAACTAGTGACATCTTTCCTTCTCAAACCATAGCTGACTGCTTTATAACCAAGTAGCATCAGCCTGTTGATCTCTAAGGCCAACAAGCTCCACGAATTCAGAAGACAGGCAGGTAAACACAGGGAGAATGAATTATTACAAAGGAGTATTTGTGTGGATTGGGAAGCAAGGCTTTGTCCAGGAAGGTTCTCTACCAACACAACTGGACGTGAAAGTAACCAGCCCATGGGGGTGTGGATTGTATTCGGGTGACCACATGTTCTTACATGCCTAGGACAGTCCTGGTGTCTGCCTGTTGTCCCAGCGTTATTATTAAAAGGGCCCCCTTTCACTCTCAGAGGTATCCGGGTTTGGATGAAAAACCGTTAAGTCACCCAGTTGTATGTCTGTGTATATAAAAGTGGTTAGCAGCACTTAGTGTGGATGTGTAGTGTGGAGAGTATGTGGATGTAGAAGCCAGTGCCCATGAGTTCTGACAGCTCAGAAGCTGTGGGTTAGCGCCGCTGCACGGTCATGGGTAAATCACTTAACTGTTTCACAGCACACACGGCTCTGAGGTGAGATCAGGGGCCTCAAAGTCTGATAAATGGTGGTTCAGAGCCTTTCTCATAGGCTGCTAGCTTTGACCTTTACAAAATTACTTAGCTTTTCTCAACTGTAAATTAAGAGTAATCATATGGACCTCTCAGAGTGGGTATCGTTTTTACGCAGTCTATGTACAGCATCTAGCATATTTTCTGACAAATCGTAACCTGCCAACAAATGGTGCCTGTGTTGTTGTTTTAATTCCAGGACAGTGACCGCTTTTGGCCTTAGTCTTTTCAATGGGGAAATGGTAAGAGATGATCCCGTCTTTCCTGGCTTCCCAGGCTTCATGAGGCTGTAACCCGGTGGCATCCCTGAAGCCTGGTATCCTGGGTTTGTGTGCCCTGCTGTGCTGGGGATGCAGAAAGGAACCGCTTGCCTGCCTGCCCAGCTGCTCCATCCCTCTGGGACATGGGAATTGGATTCCCAGGGCATCATCCTCTCCACCCATCCTGGTGGCTCTCCCATCTCAGGCCCTCCCTTCATCTCCTCCCTGGCCCAGCCACTCCCTCCTCCCACAGTGGTGCTGTATAAACACCAAGACCAGAATGTCATTTACTGGTGTTGGTTGACATTGGTCGGCTGCTACCCTGAGGGGACTGGGGACCAAATTCCTAATCCTGCCTGTATAGCACCTCTCCGTATTTCCTGCCTGGAGAGTCTCTATCTTCCTTCTCTCCTTTTGAAGGAAGGTGGCATCTGTTCCTACTGTGTTTGCTTTATTCTCTATCTTTCCACTATTTGGCTTTGCAGAATTTGAGCCAGCCTGCCTAAGTTCACACCTTGACTCTCCCACTCAAAAGCTAAATCCCATGGGCAAGTGACTTCATCACTCTGTGCCTCAGTTACCTCATCTCTAAAAGTGGACAATAATACTACTACCTAGTTTGGTTGCCATGAGGTTTCAGGGGGTCACTAGGTGCATGGTGCTAAACAAAGCGCAACACACAGTAGGTACTTGATCAGTATTAGCCATTTTTATTATCTAAACACCGGCCCCTTCTGGTTTCTCAATGTTGGTCTGTGCTGCTGGCATTGAGGAACTTAGTCTAAGCTCTGCTGCTGGTGAATTGTGGAAACAAGCGTGCCCCACCCTGGGCTTTGGGTCCCTTGACTGCCTGCCCCAGAGGGTGGGGACGTGGTCTTTGGGGCCCTTTTGGCCTCTCATAGTGGATACTGCTTTCCCTTCCATTGCCCTGCCTTGTTTTTCAATGTCCAGACCCATTCAGAAGGGGAAGGCAGCAGCCGTTTGAAGCTGTTCCTCAGCCCTCCCCTGAATGGGACCGGGAGGGACAGGACACAGGGAAAGGTCGCTGGACTGGAAGACAAGAGATGCCTATTTTGGGCCCTAGTTCTGTTTTGAGACTCTGGATGAGGCCTCTCCTGTCTCTGGTTTCTCCATTTATAAACTCGGGTGATTACCCATCAGCTTTGTACCTCTCTCAAAATGAGCGAAGATGTAAAGATACAGAAAAGCATTTTACTGGCTGCCAGGTGCAACAGAAGGGCAAGCTCCTGATTGTGTTGGCGCTGTGAGTCCCACCAGGCCAGACACAGGGCAGAGCACTGTGGAAACAGCGTGGGCCACCCGTGGCTGCTTGGATGGGAGCAAATGCGTGCTGGGGTTGCTGGTGATCTGTGAAGCTGTGCTGCCCGTGGAGACGCGAGATGAGAGTTTTCAGTTTCTTTCCCTCCCCTCGCTCTCTGTTCTCCCTAATAGACATTTGGCCCTGGGGTGACTCACACAGTAAACCATCGGCAATTGCTTCAGAAGGCTTGGACTCCTCTCAAATATAAACTGACTTTTTGTTGTTCTATGTTTGCTTTAGGGGAAGTGGGGCAGATCCCTGGGAGGCCATTAGCTGTGGGACCCGGAGTAAGCCCCTGCCCTTGGAGAGCTGTTGTGTTGCATCTGTTGGGTGGGAGGAGGTGGGGTGAGAGTGAGAGCGGAGTTGGGGTCCATGTTAACTGAATTCGTGGCCGTGGATCGGAGCCAGGTCGGTGACACTAAAACCCTCTCAGAAGATTTTTAACCATACAGATTTCCTGGCCATTAGCTAAGAAGCTGACAAAAAATATAGACCCAACCCTGTACTGCTTAGCCGGTACCCTTACCTCTGGAGTAGGGGCGCCAGTATCTAACGGCTTACCCTTGAGGGGGTTCTGCATTCTTTACCACTGGTGCCCATCAGGGGCCTACGAAGAGCATTAGCATTAGTAGACGTGGTATTCGGTTATTATTAGAGTCATGTCTGTGTGTGGTTGTTCATACCAGGTGACTGTCATTCTTTACGATGTGCATTTGGAGCTGAGCAATTTCCGTAAGCCTGAGTAAATACGTAGAGTGAAGAAAATGGATAGAAAACAGGCAGAGGAGGTGTGGTAGAATCATGATCAGGAGGAAATCCGGTGTTCCGCCTGACTGACTCTTGGTTTTGTGGTGGAAGATAGCAGCATCCTTGCTGAACCCAGCTGAGTGAATCCGTCCCAGTCATGCACACTGAAAATGGGTTGAATTTTGAGGACATTCGAGAGAAAAAAAAGCAATGAAGATGGGATACCTCTCCCGGATATGGGATCACTTTGAGAGCTTTTCTCTTGTTTCAAGATCCTTTTGTGACGCACCTGGCCTCTCAGCTGGTCAGGAGGTGAGGAACAGGGCCTTACCCCAGAATCCATCTCTGGAAATTCACCACCTTCAGTGTCTGCACCTGAGTGTGTGGAAAACAGCCCTATGCCAGGCTGTGCTCGGTGGTGAGAAATGGGATTTGTGGACCGAAACCCTGAGTCTGCAGGAAGTAAACTTATTTGCCCCGCCCCGCTACCATCACGATCCAGTTTCCCAAAATGCAGGTCCCAGCTCCACTAATGTCCACTCAGAAATCACTTTCTCATCAGGCCAAGGACGTTTCAAAGTTGCTGTGTTTTCTCTATCATTTCCCTCCCTCCTCCCCGACTTCACTTCCTGTTTTTTCTTCCTCTTTCTCCACCCCCACCCCGTCTCTCCTGGCATGTCCCTTGTTGTCTGAGAACAGGAACAAAGCCCTGAGCCAGGGAGCGTTGATAATCGTGACTTCCTGAGGTGCCCTCTTACTGCTGCCCCTGCTGCTGAGAGTCAGAGCCGGCCCAGCCTCTGAGGGCATGAGAGCCCCAGCTGGGAGCCTGGCTGGAAGCCTTGGACTTTAGACATCCCCCCAAGCCCCACCCCTATCCCCCACCCCCATCAGAAAGAGAATCTAATAAGAATAATCTTTCATGCCCTTACAACAATTTCAGTTTCCAAAGAACTGCCTCATGCATTTGAATGGAAACACTGGAAAAAAACAGACAACTCTAGTGTTTCGTCCTAGTAAGGAACTATAGTTCAGTTTAGATAACAAAAGGTAGATTTAGGAGGCCCAAGCTTATTTCTGTTTCTGCCTTGCATCTCTTTTTTGACTCTGCAGATCATTCTAGCTCTTGAAAGACTGGTTTCCTACCTCCCTGGAAAAAATGGAATTAATGGTATCTTACAGGGATTTTTTTGAGGACAAATTAACAAGAAAGTGTATCTCTATAATTCTTACGATATACTTGACAGATATTTGCTTAATAAGTGAGTGCTCCCCTCTATTTCCTGTGATTTGGTTTTTTGCACAAAGGAGTGGACATTTAAATGCACAGTAGCCAGGGGGAAAAGGAGTCCATATCTGTTGCTGTGTTTCTCTGAAACATGGAGAGAGAGGTGGGTGTGGGGGCAACTGGGTCCACACTTGCTTCTCACTGAAAAGCAGCACTCACTCCCCACCGTGTCACTGTGTTCATGGGTCATGGTATTTTATAACAATATTTTTCTAATGCGAAACAGGGAGAACCATCCCAACCACATGCCTGAGGTAGGCTGTTTTATGAATTTAGCTCCCAGGGGTGAAACTACAAAAACAGCAATCTGGAAAAAGTGCCACCTCCCTTTTTCAAAATTTGTTAAACAAAAAATTAAAAATAAAAAGACTTCCCATTCAAGGTCAATGACCACTTGTTTGAGAAATCATCCTGACCATGTGGCTGCATTTAAAAGATATGTCAAAGGTCAGAGAGTCAGAGACATGTTCCAATGTGGATGTGACTCCCACACCGCTGAGTCTTCAAGGGGGGCTGTTTTCTTCTCTGAGCCTCAATCTTCTAATTATGAAATGAAAGAATTAGACAAGATTCTCTTAGATGTCCTTCAGGCCTGAAAACCTATGATCTGTGACTCTCTCTACTCTCCTTAAAAAATATATTGTGACTAGCGGAGAATGGAAAATTGCTTCTCACAATAACATGACTTGCCTTCCCTTTTCAGCAGGGTGCCACCATCTGAAGGACAGAAAAGCTACAGGACTCTAGGAGGCCACAGTCCTGATTTAAGCCCGACTTACTTTGGCCAGGCAGCAGCTAAGCTGGTTCATTCCATCAGCCTGGATTGGTGAAACTGAATCACAGGAGATATTTCCAGGTGAGAAACAATTGACTTCGATCATAGCATGTAGCACAGTGATAACCATCATTGTACTGCAGGAAGTGTGTCATCTGCATGCTTATATTATGAAAGACGTGAAAGTATTAAGAACAGTGATTTGACCAGATCTGTTCTTGATCAAAAGCCGTGCCTCCTGACATCACATATATCTAAAGAAAGGCAAATGAAAAAGGACATGAATAGTAACTGACATTCATTTCAAGGTAGCTGTCTGCAAGGGGTTCAAGACCCTGGGCTCTATAGCTGTATTCTGAGTGAGATTTCTGCTATCTTTTGGGGGTTAAGGAGTGAAAGAAGGTAACTTAGAACTACACGCAGGAAAAGAACAGATTCGAGCTGCACGTCTTGGTTCGTTTTTCCTTGCAGAATCTGTTTAAGATTTAGTATTCCTTTCTGTGCATGCTAGCTGACCGGGTTTAGACAGTAAGAGGAGAGGTCCTTTGGTAGCCAGCCTGAGATGGAATTTAGATCTCATGTTAGAGACCTGACTTGCATCCCACCTGCTACAACATCTTTAGAAATGGATTTAGTTCATGAAGTTTCATTCAAGGGCACTTGGAGCAGACAGGCTGCAGCTAACCACTCTCGTCACCCGCTTCCCTGACCGCCAACACAATGGTTCTGTCTTCTTACTGCTTTTCTCTCTCCCCTCCTCCCAATCATTAATGGTTCTGTCTTCTTATTGCTCTTTCCTCTTGCCTCCTCCCAATCACTTATGGACCCTTTTCTTCTTATGTGCAAGGAATGTGGCCACATCTACTAGAATGTCTTCACCGGACTCACACCTGATGTAGGCTGGCATCCGTCCCAGATGACTAAAGATGGGTCAAGGGTTCAGCTGCCTGGACTGTGGTATATTAACACATCTCTCTCAAGTAGGCCCAGCGTCCCCACAAGGACAAGGTCAGGAATCATGAAAAAAATGCCAACACATTGAGATGGCTACACATCTTTACGCTCACACTAGTTTCTGGTGTTATCTTCTGCTGCCCTCTGTCTTGAAGCTCTTGTTTCTCAGCCAGATACCTTGAGTTTTCTTGAAAACTAAAACCAGAAGCCTTTCATGAAGCTAAGCATAGGACAGAAAGTAAAACTAGGTGATACCTGAAGCTCCTTTTGCGTTGCTAGGATTGTTTTATCCCAGACTTGCTTCTTATGCCAGACTCTTATTCTTTGGGAACACGCTTATCTCTTTCCTGCTTCCCTTCTGCCTCTTGTGGTCTCTTTCTCTAGCCTGGTCTCTGAGCTAAAGCATAATTCAGTGGAAAGGGAAAAGCTTTGCGATTTACACACACTTGACTTCTTGACTTCAGATCTCAGCTGTGCTATGTGTTGGTTCAGTCATTTTGCTTAAATCATCATTTTAAATCCCCAAGCTTCTGTTTCCCCACCTGCAAGGTAGGAATAGTACACTCCATGTTATAGGCTGGTGTTGAGGATTAAGTGAGATCTCACGTGAGCATGGTTTCTTGCTTATAGGAGACCTCAGCAAATGCCAGCTCCTCTCCTTACCCAATCTTTTTAAGAGCTACTTAAATACAGCTTTGATCTTATATCTGGATTTCATTTGAACCTTGTGCCTAAAATCCAGGACAGGCCTTGTCCACAAACACTGTTAAGTCCCAATGATTTAAAAAGGAGAGAACTGTTAACAGGCTTTTTGATTTCAGAGTTCCTCATCCATAGAAGCCTTTTCTCACCTGGGCTTTAGCCAGATTGCCTCTCCAACCTGGCCATTGGAAGGTTTTCTTTGCCAAATCCAAAGTTAGAACCACTACTTTCCTAGACTTTTGACTCTGTTCTCTATCCCCTGAGGTATTAGCTGAAAACTGACCCCCTCTCGGTGACTTTTTCCCTTCAGACTAGCCTACATCCAAGACCCAGAGTAATGGGTGAGTTAATTTTGGGCAGGTGTCCTGGCCTGGTACTCAGCAACAGTCAGGGTTCAAGCACATGCTCATTCAGGGCTTCCTTCCTTGCCTGTTAGCTTTTCTGAGGTAGTCATTCATTCAGTCAACAGATATTCAGAGAACATGAACCATGCAGTGGGTGGCCTGTGCTGATCTTGGTGCTAAGGATACAGGACAGAGCAAAACCAAGTTCTCGTTCTCAAGGAGCTTGCATTCAAGTAGGGTCAAGAGATCATCGGCAAGTAACAAACATGCATGTATTACATCAGGCAGTATTAGGTGCTACGAAAAAAAATAAAGCAGAAAAAAAAAATAAAGCTAAGTCAGAGAGCTAGAGGGTTGAGGGAAATGGGCATGACTGTTTTATACAGGCTGCTGGGGAACACCTCTGGATAAGGCATTATTTGGGAAGGATCTAGAGAAAGTGGGGGAGCAAGGGTAGAAGGAACAGCCAGAACTAAAGCTCTGAGCAGGGAACGTGCTTGGATTTTACCCAACCTCGAGTGACCAGTAGGATTGGAGCAGGAGGAATGTGGAACCTATGGACAGAAGCGAGGGCAGAGAGGTCTTGGGCATTTATGGTCTGGCTGGCTTTTCTGGACATTTCTCGACCCTTCCTTTCTCTTCCCCAGAGCTCTTACCCAGTGTAGTGTTAGTCATTCATTCAACAATCTTTACTGTGCCCTAGCTACTGAGACTCTGCAGATTAATGAGTCTGGGCCCCATTCTTAGGACCCCATTCTTGGTGCTAGTTCAAGGCTTCTCGGGGAAGTTGCATGAATAAAGTAGGTTGAAGTAAACAGTTGTCTTAATTTGATCATAGAGCCAATTTGCTAGAGTAGGAATTTTCCACTGGAACCTCCCATAGGTAACTTTTACCTATTCTCTTGGAATTCACTGACATGACCGACTATTGCTCTGTCTTGCCTTCAGGGTAGAAGGAGGATCATTCATTCAGCAGACATATGAGTGCCTCTTCTATGTGAGTGCTGCACTAGGCACTGGGGATAAATGAGGACTAGGTCAGCCCCTGCAGTTGAGTTGCCTCTGGTTTTACTAGGAGATGCACTAATGGCTAGACAACACACTTTTATCAGTGTTGCAGTAGGAATGGGTGTTTGGGGAGCTCAGAGAGGAGTCCCTGACCCAGACTGAGGAGGGGAACCACAGAAGCTCCCTGGGAGCATGTCTACACTCAGTCCTGGAGATGGGATGTAGCCAGACAGGTACCGAGCAGGGAGGCCAAGATGCTTCAGGGAAGGGTGTTAGGAATTCCCAGGCGGGGAGATGGAAATGCAAAGGTGAGGACTGTGCCTTGGAGAACGCTGTGCACCTTCACCTCCCTCCTGAGACTGTGGAATGTGGAGAGGTGAACCTGAGAGACCAAGGGACTCACTTAGAGAGGGAGGTGAGGGTATGAATTAGAGATTTTCCAGATGAGGCCAAGTGATTGGAGTCTATTTTGAGGAGAGCTCAGAGCTACTCACAGTTTTTAAGCAAAAATGGATGAGCTGATAGGATTGGAGTTTTAAGAGGCAAAGAGCCTAATTTTATTTGAAACCCCAGGTCCTTAAAATGCTTATTTTATACCTCTTTCGTATATTATTATAAGATTATAGTTTCCTTGGCTGTAAAATAAGTTCACACAGATCAACTGAACGAGATGGCTGTGGGTAGCAGATGCATACAGTGGCCCTTCCCACCGTTAGTGCTGTAGTGAGTGTTAAATGTCAACATTTCATGCCTAGTCTTAGTACACAAATAGCTATGAAATGGTTAGAACGTAAGCTTTGTTTCTTTAGAAGTGGCTGGCAAAAACTTACACAATTCCAGTAGAAATGATGGGATTTAGATCTTGTTACCTTTTCTTCCAGTCAGAAAATGATTGGGTAATATCCATTCCTTAACCCTCTCTCCACTGCATACTAAAATCAGAGTGTTCTCATTAGAATTTACACACTCATTAAACAGGTAGTATCTGAGTATCTACCAGGGGCCACACCCTGTTTTGGGCCTGTGAACATCAGGACGAATCAGACATGGTCAGTACCTCTAGGAGTTCCCAATCACGTGGCAAAGACAAGAGAAGCCAACAATCAGAGGAGCAGATAGTGGGTGAGAGCCCAGACATGAACAAAGCGATGTGGATGCAGAGGTTGGAAGGTGTTCTCTGCCCAAGAAAGTCAGGGCAGGCTCCAGGAGGGGCCATATGGTTTGGGCACTGAAGGCTGAGTAGGAGTTGGGAGCTGGAAAAGAGACGCTCGGGTACATAACTGCACTCTATAAATAAGGGCCAACATTCATTTCTCTGTCATGGGTGAGGAGGAAATAGCCAGCCTGCTCATCATGCTCAGATAATGCCTCAACTCTGCTTTTCAAAAATCCATTAGTAGCCACCTCCTCATCCTCCCACTTTGTCCCCAACAGTGACTAACAAGAAGCAAATTGACTAATTTGGGTTGATCTTTTCTCTGACCCTGTGGAGGTGTTAGTGAGCAGAATAGGGTACAGGGACCAAGAAAAGAAGAAGAAAGAAGAAGAGGAGGAATTCATCTTCATCACCCAAAAACGTGGATTTAGCAGCATGGATTGCACCATAACTCCCTGGTGGTAACATGCAGCTTTACAGAGACATAAGTCTGTTTCTTCTAAGTGAAAACTGTATTTCCCCTGTTACCTTCTTCTTGGAACTCTTGGGGTAGAATATGTGTATATGTGTGTGTATATATCTATCTGTATATATATATAGATACACACAGAGAGGGTTTCTGTACATGTGGATGTACATGTGGACGTGCTTACATGTATGCATTTATGAGTATATATGTGCATATGTATATATGTGTACATTATGTAGGATTTATTCTAGAACCTAGCTCAGAGCCTAGTGCAGCTGACCTCCCATCACCCCTGCTGGCTAAAGATGAATGGACTGGCTAGACCTAAACTTTCACCAACGGGCTTCCCTGGATATGACAAGATCACTGTACTTCATTTTATTGGATATTCACAAGCTCTAGGAGGGAGCCTGGGACCAGGTACAGAAGACGAGACTGAAGCTCAGGG